GCGGGGGGGTGGTTGGGGGTGGTACCTGCAGCAGTGTGAGGTCACTGGGGGTGGGGGATGGGATGGGGCGGTACCTGCAGCAGTGTGAGGTCACTGGGAATGGGGGATGGGATGGGGGTGGTACCTACAGCAGTGTGAGGTCACTGGGGGTGGGGGATGGGATGGGGGTGGTACCTGCAGCAGTGTGAGGTCACTGGGGGCGGGGGTGTTTATTGAGGGCAGTACCTGTAAAACCATGATATCATTTTCCAGGGTCTTTTTGTTGAATTGTGGGTGTGGGACCCAGCGGCGCACGGGGATCACTTGTCGGGTCTTTTCCTCTTGGCTAACGTTATGGGCTCCCAAGGTGACCACGATCTTCCTGTAAAATGCATGAGCCACACATGCGGCGTTAGGGACAGGAGCCTACATGTGGATGGGGATGGGCACAGGGGTGACATGGAGGGGACCCCCCGCAGCTCGGACCTCTCCCACGCTGATCTCTCACCTAGAGAAACACCAAAGCTGGTGTAAATGTGTCCGGCTGTCATACCTCCCCCGGGCAGGTTCTGGCTGGCTCCGGGAGACCGTATCCAAAGCTGTGCTGACAAACCCAGCTCCCTCCTGCTTACAGAATAGGCTCTTCCCAGAATTGGGGAGCAAAGCTTCTGATACGGTCTCCCACAATATTCTTTCCAGCAAGTTAAGGGAATATGGATTGGATAACCGGACGGTAAGATGGAAAGAAAGCTGGCTAGAAGGCCGGGCCCAGCGGGTAGTGACCAACGGCTTGATGTCAGGTTGGCAGGCGGTTTCTAAGAGGGAGTCCCAACCATCGGTTCTAGGGTTGGTTTTGTTCAACATCTTTATGAATGACCTGGAGGAGGGGATGGGTGGCACCCTAAGCAAACATTGTTACAGGCTAAGCAGTGAACAGGATTTGGGAGCAGCTTGCAACTCCCTGCAGGGGGGTTCCCAAAGGGCTCTAGAGAGGCTGTTCTCAGTGGGGGCAGAACGAGGAGCAACGGGCTCACGTTGTAGTGGGGGAGGTCTAGGTTGGAGATTAGGAAAAACGATTTCCCCAGGCGGGTGGGGAAGCGCTGGGCTGGGTCCCCTAGGGAGGGGGTGGAATCTCCATCCCTAGAGGTGTTTCCGTCCCATCTTGACCAAAGGCTGGGATGGTTGAGTTGGGTTGGTCCTGCTTTGGGCAGGGGGCTGGACTTGCTGACTCCTAAGGTCTCTTCCAGCTCTGGGGTTCTCTGATTCTAAATCCATGACGTTCCTCTCCAGGGACTTCAGCATTGTCTGCACCTGCTCGGTCTGCCGTTCCTCTGAGCACCTTCACCCTCCTGTCTTCTCCCAGTCCTGGGTCCCAGCCCCCCATGCACCCCAGGGACGCCTCCCACCGCAATCCAGGCCATTGTCCATGCCCAGCCCCCAGCCCAGCGCCCTGCAGAGCTGCCCTGGGTCTAGGCAAGGGGCCAGATCACCACTGAGATCATTGGCCTCAGCCCCATTGATTTACCCAGCAGTGGGGCTGGGCTGTGAGTTACAGTGGCCCACAGAGACTCGCTGACACCCCCTGACCCCGCAGACCCCGGGCTCTGCTCCCCCAGCCTGGCCACCCACTACCCCTTCCCTGCCCCCCATGCGAGCACCAGAGTACCAGGGTCTCCCTCCCCCACTGACCCCACCATCCCCCACGTCCCAGCACGGAGTCACTTACCCTCCCTGGCAGTGAGCGGCCGTCAGCACAAAGTTTGTCTTCACCAGGAATCCGCCACATTTCTTTTTACCCCCCTTGATTTGTATTTCCAGATAGGCCATGTAACGTCTGGAGTGGGGCCGGGCTTCCCGGCCCCCGATGATCTCACCTGGGGGGTGGAGGCCATGTTCGTACAAAGAGCCCCCTCACCTCCCTGTTCCCAGCTGGGACCAAACTCCCCATCCCGAAGAGGTGTCCTCCAACTCTGATCCCACCCCTGGGGGATCCCTGGGCCTGGATCCCGGCCCCCTGCTCTGCTCTGCCCCACACTGGGCCTCCTATGGGGCGGGAGGGTAAATCTGCCACTATGACTTGGCTGGGTGGAGAATCGGTGCCAAATGCACCAGGACTGAGTGTGTGATCTCGCTGCCTTGAGTGACGGGATTTGGCGGCCGAGACCAAAGGAAAATGACATTTGCCTTCAGTCGAGATTCCTTCCCAGTCCTGTGCTATTTTGAACATCTGATGTTGGGAGCACCCTCTGTGGAAGAAAAGGAGGGATCCTTCCGAACATCTGCTCCCTTTTTCATACCTCTTTGAGAAGCATCTCCAATGGTGGCTCAGGAGACTGTAAGTCTGTAAGACTGGACATCCCAAGCTGGGTAGTTACCAAGAAGTCAAATTTTCACCCCCATCCTCTTTCCCACACAGGCATGGCCCCTTCACAAGGGGGATATTCTATGTGGTGACTGTGATATCGGTCTGAGGCATTGGTCAGTTTTTTGTCTCTGGGGAACTGGCTGGTGGCTGCTCCCTGGATATGACACATGTCTGAGTAACACCCGCCAGTTGAATCCTTTCACTTTACAGGCACACATATGTGTCCAGGACAATAATGGTCAGCAGATTATGAGTTTTCTGATGACATTAAGCAAGGCACGCTTGGCTTTAAATATATCATAAGAGGTAAAAATGGGGACAGCCTGTGACAGATTTCCTAGATACCCCCCTGAGTGTGCATCTCTGAGACATCCCCCAAAGTCCTAGAGGCCCCCGATCCTAGCTGTACTCACCAGCCTGAGCCCCATAGGGCAGGAGAAAGGCCATGGGGAGCAGGAGCAAGATCTGTACGTGCATCTTCAGAGGCAGTGCAAGGACGGCACATCTCCCTCAGGTCTATTGGCCTTGTAGACTTAGTTGGGGGGAAATCAGGGGGCAGGAAACCTCAGTGTGACACACACTCATGTAACTGCCTGCTCAGGCCTCACAGTTTCCAACCACAGGGGCTGGGGGGAAGGGCAGGTCCTGTATCAAACCAGCAGCTGCGATCTTGCACAGCTGGATTGCTGCTGTCTGGTTGGGTCCCTGCATAGATGAAAGGAGAAGACCCCGGTGGGGCCGTGTCCAGCAGGGTCCAGGGCTACTCTGGGTGCCCGCTCACAGCTGGGCACATCTGGGGCTTGTACTCACCTGGCTCCATCCCTTCTCAGCTCCCTGCCGGCCTCTGTGTGGTGGGGACTGTGAGGGACAGCGACTGATCTCGGTGGCAGGTGGGAACGGGGCCCTTTGATCTTTCTCAAGGTGGGGCCAGGCGTGAGCCAGCTGGCGCTGCACAGAGCAGGCATCAGCCCTGATCACAGAGACCGCAGGGAGAGGGCTTCTCAGCCCCCCATGACTCTGTGACCACATGCAGGGGATGTGGCTGTTTCTGTGACAACCTGTCCCTGGGAGCTGGAACCGTGCAGAGAGGAAACGACACAGCACAGACACGTAGCCCCTGGGAGACCCAGGTTGTAGCTCCCTTCTGTATCACCGTAGTCCTGCTCTAACCACTAGACCCTGCTCCCTTCCCAGAGCTGCAGAGAAAGCTCGGGAGTCCTGGCTTCCAGACAACTCACGGCTTTTAGGAACAGCCCCCAAACCGCTGCCCTCCCAGCGCCGGGGACAGTTTGTGCCAAGCGGCGAGAAACTCCCTGTCCTTCCCAAGCCCCGACAAACTCACCAATCCCAAAGCCCCACTGCTCTGGGGTTCCACCCTGCTGGGTGGGGATGGAGGACTCCATTGGAAGCTGGGATCTCCTCAAGCTGCATACTCCCTGGGAGACGTGAGTGTGGGAGCTGATTCCAGGAGAATGTCTTTAACCTGACACCTGGGTCCAGCACTTCCTCCCGTCCCTCTCCCCCCGTTCAGTCTCTGTTCCTCAGCTGTTTCCAGGAGACTTCTTGGGGGTCAAAAAGCTCACATCTCTGAGAAGCCTGTGGAAAATCAACATCTCAAGGTGGAGTCTAGAGACAGGTGGTCTCATCCCACGTTCTTGTAGACCAGTGTTTCTTAAACTTTTTAAGACCAAGGAACACCAAACAATAATTTTTGTATGAGGAACACCAGGGAATTTTTGTGGAGGAAAATCCCCTCAAAAAACAAAAAAAGGGGTCGGAGGGAAAGTTATTGAGAAAAAAAAAGGTTGCCTGCACCTTTAAGGGCAGCCATTTTGACTGCCTTGTGGCACAGTCGTGCGCCAGGAAACACAGTTTAAGAAACACTGTTGTAGAGTTGTAGCAGCTGGTCCTGGGACTCCGCCTGTAGCATTCTCAGGAAGGGTCTCAAGGCTTGTAGTTTTTTTGCCCCCAAACAAGCGCATCCCTACCCACTGTCTAGATCAAGGCGACTCAACTTTGGAACCCCGGGGGCCACACAGATACTCAAAGCACATGCCGAGGGCCACAACTTAAGCATGGAAATATACAGGCGACCCCCAACTTACAACCGCCCGATGTACAACCCCCTACGTTTACAACCATTTTTTCCTGAGAGATAGCTCCTAAAACCCAATTTATGTCCATAGCTCGCATTTACAATGGCATATGATGCAGACTCCACAGGTCCTCCCAAAACAGGAAACGTACCAAGTCAGTCAGCTGCGCCTGTCTGCAGCTGCTGCTTGGACTGCACTCATCTCTGCCAGCTTGGTCTTCATTTTTTAGTTATTTTGGGGCAATATTTGAACTCTTTAATTGAGTTTTCCTCCATTTCCGTCACCAATTTTGGTATTTGTTGGGTATGACATGGGTTTCTAGGAACAGAACCACCATTTATAACACTGCACCTACGGGGAATAAGTGTTTGACTTACAAAGGCTTCACTTGCCACGGTTCTCCAGGAACCAATTAGGTTGTAAGCATGGGGTCACCTGTACATGCAAGTATATGCAAGTAAGTTATTTCACACTGACAAACATGAACACAAAAATTAAGACAAGACGACACAACACACGCAGGCCCCATTGAAGTCATTTTTGCTGATATTAATCAAATGCGACATTTACCCGATTTCTACCTGTACGACAGCACTTTGAGTGAGCAATGACAGTCCAGGGATTGAACTACTAAAACACATCTAAGCAGATGACCGTTCAATTGATGACTTTTTTGTGTTGGCTCCCACCCACGGGCCACTAACCAATGGGCAGCGGGGTCGTGTGTTCAGTAGCCTTGCTCTAGTCTAGTCAGTGTTATCCAGGTGTAATCACATTCGAAACACAGATACAGGATCAAGATTCATCACTACAGAGAACAATATGGTTGCTGTAATGGGTCCACCCACTGGTGAGCACCCCACTGCGGCCTAGTGGCATTGGGCAGGGTCCTTGCTGGGTTGTCCGGTCACTCTCAAAGTCCTGGAACCAGAGGCTGACTAGCCATGTCCATGGTGCTACTAAGTCTCTGCTTGTGGCTGGTCTCTGACCACTGGGTCTGGATCTTACCCAGGTCTCGGCTTAGCTCACACCGGGAACTGGCCGTGGTGCTGATCTCCCAGTCAGGGTAGAGACCTGGCTGGGTCAAGCTCCTCAAGAGAAGTGCCTATGCCCAGCCCTGCAGCTTCTTTTATACCCCTCTGCTGGGTCCTGATTGGCTGCCGCAGAGACCGCCACTCTATACTGCCTGGAGGACCTCTTCTCCGCTCCTTCTGCAAGGATGGGGTGCAGCAAAGCCGCTAGCCTCCTGTAGGGGGCATTGGGGGCTAGTCCAGCCCATCAAGCATGCATACAAAGAGGATAACCATATTCCACAAATCATGACAGCACTGTTTGCTATAACACAGATCACTTGAACTGGCAGGGACCTCGAGAGGACATCGAGTCTAGTCCCCTGCCCTCATGGCAGGACCCAGCACTGTCTAGGGCTTTGGTTCAAACTAGCACATCCCGGCGCACGCTTCCTGGTTTGAAACAGCTGTGTTTTGAACTAGCACGCCGGGTGAGATCTTGCTAATGAAGCGTGGGATATTTAAATCCCCACTTCATTAGCAATTTCAGTCGGCTACATTTGCATCCCTAGTCCAAACTAGGTATGCAAATGTACATGAACCCAAACGAAACAAGACCAATTCTGTCAGCCTTGCCTCATAGCTCATGTTCTCTAGACCTTTCATCATTCTTCTTGCTCTTCTCTGGACCCTCTCCAATGTCTCCACATCTTTCTTGAAATGTGGTGCCCAGAACTGGACACAATCCTCCAACTGAGGCCTAACCAGCACAGAGTAGAGCGGAAGAATGACTTCTCGTGTCTTGCTCACAACACTCCTGTTAATGCCTCCCAGAATCATGTTTGCTTTTTTTTTTTGCAATAGTGACACTCTTGACTCATATTTAGCTTGTGGTCCACTATAACCCTTAGCTCCCTTTCTCCTGTACTTATTCCTAGACAGTCTCTTCCCCTTCTGTATGTGTGAAACTGATTGTTCCTTCCTAGTGGAGCACTTTGCATTTGTCCTTATTCAAGTTCATGCTGTTTACCTCCAACCATTTCTCTAATTTCTCCAGATCATTTTGAATTTTCTGCCTATCCTCCAAAGCACTTGCCACCCCTCCCAGCTTGGGATCATCTGCAAACTTAATGAGCATCCTCTTTATGTTGATAGCTAAATCGTTGATGAAGATATTGAACAGAGCTAGTCCCAAAACCGATCCCTGCGGAACCCCACTTGTTATGCCCTTCCAGCAGGATTGTGAACCATTAATAACTACTCTCTGAGAACAGTTATCCAGCAAGTTATGCACCCACCTTATAGTAGCCGCATCTAAGTTGTATTTGTTGAATTTATTGGTAAGAATATCATGCGAGACCTTATTAAAGTCTAGGTATACCACATCCACCGCTTCTCCCTTAGCCACAAGACTCGTTATCCTATCAAAGAAAGCGATCAGATCAGTTTGACATGATTTCTTTACAAATCCGTGCTGGCTGTTCCCTATCATCTTATTAGCTTCCAGGTGTTTGCAGATGATTTTCTTAATGACTTCCTCCATTATCCTTCCTACATAGTGCATCACTTTGTGTAATAATATCCCAGGGAAGAGTATGGGGTATATTGTCACACCCACACCGGACCTTCCAGATACAACAGCAAAGAAGCTAAATGGGAAGATGCATCAGCAAAGACCATGGGCCATGGTGAAGTGTAGATTTCCTGGGGGCCCTTCAGCCCTTCTGTAAATAGTGCTGGTGTGACCCAGCAAGAGGTGGGTTTTCTTCACAGTGGGCTGGGAAGTGTTAAGGACACCAGAACATCCGGACTGGGTCAGAACAAAGGTCCATCTAGCCCAGTATCCTGTCTGCCGCCAGTGGCCAGCACCAGGTGCCCCAGAGAGGGTGGACCGAAGACAATGATCAAGTGATTTGTCTCCTGCCATCCCTCTCCAGCCTCTGACAAACAAAGGCCAGAGACACCATCCCTATGCATCCTGGCTAATAGCCATTGATGGGCCTAATCTCCAGGAATCTAGCTAGCTCTTTTTTCAACCCTGTTAAAGTTCTAGCCTTCGCCACATCCTCTGGCAAGGAGTTCCACAGGTTGACTGTGAGCTGAGTGAAGAAAAACTTCCTTTGGTTTATTTTAAACCTGCTACCACTTCATTTCCTTTGGTGACCCCCAACTCAGCTTGGAACAAACAGTTCCCACCCTATGGCAACGCTATATGAGGTGCGGAGTGACCTTATGATTGGTCCTCAGTCCGCCACAACTCAACACCTGAAAGAACCTCTGGATGGCAAAGGACTTGGGGTGAGGGAGGGGGACCCTAAGAACGCAGCCAATGTAGGCTGTGCTGAAGAATCTGCAATCAATCTGGGTGAGAAATTGTTAATTCCCACCCCATCTACCCCATGCGCTGGGCTCGGGTTGGGGGTTTATTTATGGGCCAGCTTTGATCTGGTTGCTTGCCACTGGCAATCACTTGAAATCTTTTCTCGTGATGCTTCCTCTCAGGGCCGGGAAACTTTCTGGGATCAGGGGCTGCTGACCCACCGAAAAAATCAGTCGGGGGCCGCACAGAAGTGAGAAATGAAACAAAACAGAAGACAAACAAGCCATCAGTGGCAAGGCTGCTGGCTGAGAAGGAGACAGACTCTTCCCACAATCCACTCCCACATCAGAGTCCGGGGAGCCAGGGGAGTAGATCTGTGAGCTCCAGCCCCATAGGGAGGGTGGGGAGCAGAGGGACTGGGGCACCAGAGGTTTGGGGGCTCCATCCAGCCCCTGAGTCTTCTGTTCCCCACCCTGCTTTATCTTAACCAGTGTGTTTTGAGTGAACCGTCTGGGGAAAAACTTGCCAGACTGTATAATTCTGGGTTTATTCATTAGCGAGGGTGCCAAGCTGGGGAGTGGGGAAACTGTCAGACATTGAGTGGCTCAGGTGAAGCACCTGGGCACCTCAATTAGGTGTGAGGTGTGTGGGACCAACAGCAGGGGCTACATCACAAACAAAGCCGACTGTAAAAGGCCTGCCTAGCTGCCAGGATGGGGGGGCCCTGTGGCTCCTATGGTTCCCAGATCAAACCTCACAGAGTTGCAAGACTATCCATCATGTTCCCCATCCATGAGGGCACTTTTCCCACCCCATCCTCCTCCCCAGTGTTTTTTGTGATGGTACTGCCTGGAATAGCGTACCGCCACCTATTTTCCCAGCCCAAAGAAAAGGAGTGGGATTTTCCCTGTGCATACCGGCCCTCTCTTCCTGGGGTGACTTGGCTCCTGACGGAAGCCTGCTTGGGATGCGCGGTGTGGGGTTTTTTCCCGGCTCACAGCACACATTGCTGTGGCTCTTAAAGGGGCCATGACCACATTTCAGACCTCACCATGTTTTTTTGTTTGGTTGGTTTTTTTAGCTCAACAAGTTGGCCCCAGAGTACGGGCACCTCTTCTCTTACAAAAAAGGTGGGGTGACTTGGCTCCTGACGGAAGCCTGCTTGGGATGCGCGGTGTGGGGTTTTTTCCCGGCTCACAGCACACATTGCTGTGGCTCTTAAAGGGGCCATGACCACATTTCAGACCTCACCATGTTTTTTTGTTTGGTTGGTTTTTTTAGCTCAACAAGTTGGCCCCAGAGTACGGGCACCTCTTCTCTTACAAAAAAGGCACTTCCCCTCCCAAAGTGAGGGTAAATACAGTGTCTGATTCTTGATCTCCCCTGAGCCAGCAAGGCCCCATGCCTCATAGAGAAGAGATAAAACCTTCTTCTGACATTGCATGGGGCGTGTGTCTGTCTGGGGGGGTGATAGACATATTCATAGGCAGAGGTGTGGGTGTTAGGGGATAGATAGATAGATAGATAGAGGGGGTGTGTGGGGATAGATAGATAGATAGATAGATAGATAGATAGATAGATAGATAGATAGAGATGAGAGACAGGATGGGGTAGATAGCTGTGAAAAATCTCTCACTCTTCCAATTCTCATCTATCCATCTCCAAAAATCTATTTCAAACCCATCCTGTTTCTGTTCTAGATGTAGAACCTCAGATGTCCGGACATGTAAAGACACAATCTGCTTCCTCCTCTGAGTAACCCTTGCGTCTGTACCAGCCCTCAGAGACACCTCCCTCCTCCAGGGGTTCAGGTCCCATCCGCACCCCCAGGCCCACACGAAATCACAGAACCCAGGTGTCCGAGTGCCCAGCTCCAGGCTTTAACCACCAGCTTGGCCTTCCGTGGTCAGAGTACATTCCCTCTTGGCCCTGGCAGAGGCTGTGGTGGCTCTGGATGTCATGCCTCAGGTGGGTCACTCATCCCCAGAATCACGTTTTTAGTAACTTCATTTTTATTCCATGCTGGCTACGAAGCAGGGAGGCAAGTACAGGAGGCTGTTCGGGCTGGTAATTGCCCCAGAATGAGTTCAGGGCAGCCTGTGCTGAGTTCCCCTCCTGCAAGCCTTGCGGGTGCAGACAGGAGCCAGTGGCCACCATAGGGGAGGATGGACCATGAGGATCTCCCAGAAGTGGTCACCATCCGGCTGACATGGGGCACCGCGGTGGCTTATGCAGTGGATCCTGGAAGGGCGCTGGGCTGTGACCGCCTCATTGTCTTCTGTATCCAGGAGATGAAGTGGGAGAGTTTGGTGTACACCCCGGGGGGGCTGCAGCCCCCACAGGAGACGATGCCCTGGGCTTTGCCTCCGCACACCAGAGGCCCCCCGGAGTCGCCCTGCGAAGCAAACAAGCCACAGATACAGAACAGCTCCCTGAACGTCGAAACCACATCCCTCTTTCGACAGAGGGATATAGGTTAGACAGGTCGACTTTGCAAATGAAGCACGGGATTTAAATATCCTGTGCTTCGTTTGCATAAAGACAGCTGCAGCTTTTTTCTGAAACGGGGCTTTTTCGAAAAAAAGCGGCAGCGTAGATGTGGATCTTTCAAAAATAAAACCGTTTTTAGAAAGATGCTGTATTCCTCAAAAGGGTGTGTCTAGGCTACAGGATGTTTTTGAAAAAACTTCCCCTGCATCAAGACTGCTGCAGCATTCTTTCGCGAGTAAATCGAAAGAATACGGTGGTTTTTTCAAGCACGGAAAACCTCATTTTATGCGGAAGAACCCCTTTTTTCAATATGTAAGGGTGTGTCTAAACTACAGGGTTTTTTTTAGTGCCATATTCTGTCAACAGTAAATCAAAATAACATGGTGGTTTTGTTGACTGTGGTAAGCCTCATTCTACGAGGAATAACGCCATTCTTTGAAAGTCCTCTTTCCAAAAGAGGCGCTATTGTCTGAAAAGAGGGCTTTTTCGAAAGAGAGCGTCTAGACTCTCTTTCGAAAATGTGAGTCGCTTTTTCGAAAAATCTTCTTGTTGTCTAGATCAGTGGTCTCCAACCTTTTTACACACAAGATCACTTTTTAAATGACAGACCAAGCCAAGATCTACCGCCCCGCCCCCTCCTTGAAGCCCCGCCCCCTCTATTCTCCTCAACATCACTTGCTATCCCCAATCCTTATGCTGCTACTTTAAAAAAAAAATTCCCACCATTCCTCGCAGCTACTCACCTGTGCTGTTGCTCAGTGAGTAGCTGCTCCTCAAATGAGGAAATCTAATGTAAATGCACTGTGCAGGCGCGCAGTTCAGAGAAGGCTCAAGAGCTACTCTTAGAGCCCCTGAGATCTATCGGTAGATCGCGATCTACTGGTTGGGGACCACGGCCCTAGAGGAATGCTAAAGCCAATTCACTTGAGACCGCTTGATCTTTTTACTTCAGCCCCAACTCTTTTCCAAAAAAGGCTTTTTCGACAGAGGCTTGCAGTCTAAACATGGCCAAAATGAGGTTTACAGGATCTTTCGAGAAAGGGTTTTATTTTTGAAAGATTCCCGCCTAAACTACTGTGGGTTTTTTTTTCCAAAAAAGCCCCATTTTTGAAAAAAGCGGCAGCCTCCATTACGTAAATGAAGTGCCAGATATTTAAATCCGGGCTTCATTTGCAATGTCGACCTGCCTAACCTACATCCCTTTCTTGAATAAAGGGTGTCATTTAAACACAGATTCATTCCCCACTGACACACACAGGTGCGGCTGGGCTCTGTGTCACCCCGATGCACCCCAGCCCTGGTCCCCAAGCACAGCCTGACAGCAACACAGGGGGTCTTGGATCCAGGAGCAGATGTACCTTTGCAGAGTCTTTGCCCAACTCTCCTCGCCCGACACACATCATGGTGCTGGGGTCGTAGTGACAATAGGGCCAGGTACGGTGCCCCAAACATTCATCATCCTCCAGCACCTCCACATCCACCTCTTGCAGCTTGGAGGCCCCTGATTTCTGCCCTCGCTCAGTGATTCCCCAGCCAGCGACACTGCAGTTGGTCCCGGGTTTCACACGCTTCTTGGCGCTGGGAAGGGAGATGGTCTTCACCCACTTGTTCAGCTTAGCTCTGCCCGCCAACTAAGACACAAACCAGTGAAGATCAATGAGAAGATCACAGCCAGGGAGACAGAAATACCCCACAGCCAGCTAAATGGGATGCGGGTGGTACCTGCAGCAGTGTGAGGTCACTGGGGGTGGGGGATGGGATGGGGGTGGTACCTGCAGCAGCATAATATCATTTTTTAAATTCTTCTTGCTATAATCCGGGTGGGGAAGCTGGCGGAGGATGGGAATCTCTTGTTGTGTCGTCTCCTCTTGGTCAAGATCGTGGGCTCCCAAGGTCACGGTGATCTCACTGGAAAAGCCCAGAATACACATACATTTTCAGTGCGTCTCTGTGGCGTGAGACGAGTTGGACACAGGACTGCAGCTCCTTGGAGACGGGCAGGGGACACAGCAGTGTGGGTCCCCCAAACAGATTTCTCAGAGTCATCCCCCTGCTGAGAAAATGTCCCTGCAGCCAACCCACCCCTGTGGATGGATATGGGGTAGGGAGAGGAATGGTGCCGTCTGGGTTCTAGCTGCCCCTCTTCAGTGATATTTGGGTCCCAATCTATGTCTTCTCCAGCCCCTTGTGCTATTCCCCTGAGTTGCCTCCCCTCTGGGCTGTCCCCTGCCCCACATGCTGGCACCAGAGCTCCTGGCTCCTCCTTCCATGCTGCTCCTACCCGCCCCCACGTCCCATCCGAGAGGCACTTACTCTCCATTGCAGTGAGCGGCCGTCAGCACAAAGTTTCTCCTCACCAGGAAACCACCACACTGAGACACTTTTTTTCCATTTCGTATTTTCAGAAAGGCCATGTAGGGCCTGGAGTGGGGCTGGGCTTCCCAGCCCCTGATGATCTGCCCTGGGGGGAGACCAGGTTCACACAAAGTGCCACATCACCTCCCCGGGAAAGGCTGGGACCAAGCTCCCCATCACAAAAAAGCATCCTCACAGCCTCGACATACCCCCTGTGGTGCTCAGCTGTGGCCCCAGGCTTGGTTTCCCTGGTGAAGACATGGCTTGGCACAGGCATCCCATGGGAAAAACAGGGAGGTCACTACAGGCCTCTCACCAGCCCCCATCTATTTTCTCAGGACAATAATGGTCAGCAAATTATGAGTTTTTCAGATGATACTTCACAAGGCACATTTGGACTAAAATTTATCCTAATCCTGTTGTCATGGCTCCTTCCCCACTCTGGCATGATAAATGCAGAAGTGGGAGCCAGCAAGTGTACCCCAAAGCCTTATCTACCAGGCTTTGGTATAAAACTTCCCCCAAAATCTTAAAAACCTAGATCTTGGGAATAAAACTTCCGCTGCCACCACCCAAATGTTGATAAAGAAATGTGCCCAGCTGTGAGCTGGCACCCAGAGCAGCCCTGGACCCTGGACACATCAACTCTGGTGTCTTCTCGGTCCAATGCTGCGAGATCCAGGCGGCTGTGCAGGGAACAAGCTACTGGGCTGACGTGCAGCCTGTCCTTCCCCCAGCCCGTGTGGTCGTCTGTGCCTGGAAACAGATCCACCTGAGCCTGCAGTTAGAAGAGCGTGTGGGTGACCTTGAGGTTTCCTGTCCCCTTGAATCCCCACCCCACCAAGCTGAGTCTATAAACCCTGCAGGCCTCCAGCAGAAGAACCAGCTTTGCACTGACTGCAAACATGCAGGTTCTCACCTTGTTTCTGCTGCCCATGGCCTTTCTCCTGCCCCCTGGGACTTGGGCTGGTGAGTACAGCTGGGTTTGGGGGACACGGGGACTTTGGGGTGAATGGAAGTTCTTAGGGACTGGATTCTGGGGATGTTACCACAGGTTGTACCCCTTTGATCCCCACTTATACAGGTGTCATGATTATGAGGGTTAGCCAGCAGCCTGCGGATTAAGGGGTTAACTACACCTAGCCAGGTGGAGTGACCAGTAGGAATGTAGGTAGGACTTTCAAACTGGGACAAAGGAATTTGGGTTTTTTCCTTTCTCCCTTTTGTCTCTGAGGGTACGTCTACACTACAGCGCTAGTTCGAACTAGCTAGTTCGAACTAGCGCTGTAGTGTAGACGTACCCTCAGAGACAAAAGGGAGAAAGGAAAAAACCCAAATTCCTTTGTCCCAGTTTGAAAGTCCTACCTACATTCCTACTGGTCACTCCACCTGGCTAGGTGTAGTTAACCCCTTAATCCGCAGGCTGCTGGCTAACCCTCATAATCATGACACCTGTATAAGTGGGGATCAAAGGGGTACAACCTGTGGTAACATCCCCAGAATCCAGTCCCTAAGAACTTCCATTCACCCCAAAGTCCCCGTGTCCCCCAAACCCAGCTGTACTCACCAGCCCAAGTCCCAGGGGGCAGGAGAAAGGCCATGGGCAGCAGAAACAAGGTGAGAACCTGCATGTTTGCAGTCAGTGCAAAGCTGGTTCTTCTGCTGGAGGCCTGCAGGGTTTATAGACTCAGCTTGGTGGGGTGGGGATTCAAGGGGACAGGAAACCTCAAGGTCACCCACACGCTCTTCTAACTGCAGGCTCAGGTGGATCTGTTTCCAGGCACAGACGACCACACGGGCTGGGGGAAGGACAGGCTGCACGTCAGCCCAGTAGCTTGTTCCCTGCACAGCCGCCTGGATCTCGCAGCATTGGACCGAGAAGACACCAGAGTTGATGTGTCCAGGGTCCAGGGCTGCTCTGGGTGCCAGCTCACAGCTGGGCACATCTGGGCCTCGTACTGCTCCCTGCCAGTGTCTCTGCGGTGGGGGTTGTGGGTGACAGCGACTGATCTCGGCGGCGGGTGGGAACGGGGCCCTTTGATCTTTCTCAGGGTGGGGCCAGGCCTGAGCCGGCTGGGGTTGGACAGAGCCGGCACCAGCCCCCCTCCCAGCGACCGCAGGGGGAGAGTTTCTGTGACCACATGTGGGGGATGTGGCTGTTTCTGTGACAACCTGCCGCTGAGAGCTGGGACTGTGCAGAGGGGAAATGACACAGCAGAGACGCGTAGACCTGGCTTGTAGCTCCCTTCAGTATCACCGGACCCCCGCTCTAACCACTAGACCTCGCTCCCTTCCCAGAGCTGGGGATAGAACCCAGCGGTCCTTGGTCCCAGCCACCATCCTGCTTTAACCCTCCCGTAGAAACCCTCCCATCCCCACCACTCTCCCAGCACCGTGGATAGTTTGTGCCAACCGGCGAGATAATCCCGCCGGTCTGAGCCCCCACAAACTCCCCGCACCCAAGGCCCCGCAGCCCTGGGGTTCAGCCCTGCCCGGTCAAGGAAAAACTGTCATCTCCCCCAGCCACGTGCTCCGTGTGCGACGTGAGTGCGGGAGCCGGTTCCCAAGAAGGTCTCTAACCTGATCTACAGCGTCTGTACCTGGAATTACCACCCAGGGAATCTCTCGGCTCGGGGCCGGCCCGTTCCCGGAGGGGGGATCTCTCCGCGCTCCCTGGCCAGCCGGGGATGGAAGAGGAGAGGAAAAACTGTCATCTCCCCCAGCCACGTGCTCCGTGTGCGACGTGAGTGCGGGAGCCGGTTCCCAAGAAGGTCTCTAACCTGATCTACAGCGTCTGTACCTGGAATTACCACCCAGGGAATCTCTCGGCTCGGGGCCGGCCCGTTCCCGGAGGGGGGATCTCTCCGCGCTCCCTGGCCAGCCGGGGATGGAAGAGGAGGTGGGTCCCTGGCAGGCCCCGGCCGCTGGCGCTGGCTAAGAACTGACAAACTCATCACTGGAGACCAGGCTGCTCAGCTGGGGGCGAGTTTCCCTCCAGCTAGGGCTGGACGCACCAACCCCATGTCCCAGCCAGACCCTGAGGTGCCTGGAAGTCGCCCCCCGCGCTCACCTCCCGCGCCGGGTCCCTGTGCTGGGTTGGGTGGGGACGGGGGCGTTTGGCTTTGTGCCCTGGGCCGGGTTGGCTTGGAACAGGCCCCCCCCCCAAATTTGCAGTGTGACTGTCAAACATCACGGGACGTGCTTTGTGTAGTTCTGCCTGGGCACAATCTGATTGCCACTGGGTGGGGGAGACCGTGACCGAGGCCAGGTCGGGGAACCACCGAGGCAGGTCGACGCCCACCTGGAAACACCCCCTCCCAGTCCCCCCCCCTGACCCCCCCAAAGCCAGACCCCCCCCAGCCATTTCTGCCTCTGCTGCAGCGCTGAGTCAGATGTTCCCTACCCACATGGTCCCCATTCCACACTGCTCTCATTTACAATGGGGCAGCCCCATGGCCGAGATCCCCCCGTGGTGCCGGGCACTGCCCTGACCCACAAGGCGTCCAGTTCAAACAGACACGGGCAGGATCTTCCTTCTCATCGTGCAGGTGGGTAAACTGAGGCACAGGGTGATGGTTGCTAAACTTGCTTCAGGAGCTGGCCTGCTCAGGTCTCCTCGGGTCTCCATGCAGCTCCCCAACCCAGGGACCCCCCCCCCCCACGAGATCCAAAGGGAACCCGGGCTGAGCGGGGGAATGGTCCCATATTTCGTGGGG